GGGAGAATTCATCGACCAGAAATCGCTGGACAATATGAATGAAATGCAACGTCAGCTCGAAGCATACAGCTTGATGATGAGACAGGAAGGGGTAAGAGATATAACAGACGTACAAGGTGGCGTGATTCAACGTCAAGGAATGATCGATGACGTTACTCGCAAGTATCCACTTTTTACAGACATTCGTAACCTCTTGGAAAAATTAGCCGATGCGTTCCAACCGGGCAGCAAAGTCAGGGAACTTTACCGAGGACCTTTTGCCCAGTTAACCGGCAAGTTGATCGAGGATGCTGTGCGAAACCCAAACAAGCCCATGGGTAAATCTTTGGAGTCGCTTGTTGGTTCGTACGCAACCCTTTTGGATGGGCACCGCAATTTCCACGCACTACACTTGAACAGTCTAAAGAACAAGTTCACCGGGCAATTCATACTGGCCGTTCACAATCCATTCGATGCAGAGATCGAGATGTCAGACGGATTGTTGCTCAACGATTTCGTGTCGTATTCTGCGGCAACGCATGCTACTCTAAAAGTCGAGATGACGGAGCTTCGATTGGCTGTGACGTCAAGTGTCATCATCAACGGAAAAAACATATGGGTCGGATGGCAGGGACCAGCAGGGACGGGGAAGACAACGGCTGCCAAGTCTGTCTTGCACGGCATCAGCGAGTCGGATGGATTGTGTCTTCAAGGAGTAGTTCGCGAGATGGATTCTGTTACCACTGCCTCGCTTAAGTCGACGAACGAAGATCCTCTCATGCATTGTAAAGGTGTCGGATTCGTAAACGAATTGGGTGATAGTGAAAAATCGGGCTCTCTCAAGACCGATGGCAGCGAGAAGGCCACCCTACTAAAAAATTTTTACGATTCGGGTATGAGTGTCGTGTATAGGGGTCTGTCCAAAGACAAGAAAGAAGTCCGCCAGAATGTGCAAAACGTCATATTTGATTGCGTGTTCGTCATTTTGGCTAATCATTTGCCTCTGTGTCCGTCGTTGCGCGATCGCATGATCATTCACACAATCAACAACACGACGGCCACCGGCGATCGACTATCGGTAGGGGACATTTTTCAGCGCATGGATCAATTCAAGGTCGGACATTTTGAAATCTTCAAAATGCTCGCCATCTCGCTGGTATCCATGTTCGAGTTCGTGGGATGCACTCTCGAGGATGTCGACTATCTGAATAACATGGAACAACTCGTGTTCAAAGTAATAGACCAAGAATTTCACGCCATGCACCTGGATGCCAACTTTGGAGGACGGGGTCGGCGTCTCGATAACATCCGATTATTGGTTCGCATGCTGGCTTACCATCGAGCCGTGTTAACCGTCATGGGATGCGTGGATACTTTCCGATTGCCTTGGGAGGAACACAACGCTTCGGCGGAAACGTTGGACGAATACAACCAGCGCATGATGCAGATGGTGGTGGACGATCTCAAGAAGATGCCGTTGCACGAATTGGTGCGTCGTATCCAGGAGGTGTTTTGCCCCAGTCCCGCAGATTACATAGCAGTTGTCACGATGGAGTGTCTGGATCAGAACCCGTTCTTTCCGGTGTATAGTGCCCTCGCGAGATCGCTGATAGATCCTGCTAATTTGGAGACGACCAGCGACGGCCGCAAAGTTTTTGTCGTACCAGACATGACGTACACGCGAATCTGCGATGTTCTCAATGATCGACGTATCCCATTCGAGGCCAAAGAGATTGAAAACATCGTGGAAGCTATGACGAAATCCATCACCCGTGACGGAATACACGTCATCACTAGTACAAATCATCAAGGAGGTCGCTCGCGAGATGCCGGACATGGCACGTCGTTCTTTCAACTGAATTTCGATGCCAAGATGGCCGCAGAGGTTGTGATGGGTTTGGACATGATGAATCTCGTGACTCAGTTAACTGACGATATTCAGAATAGAATCACGACGGTAGTGAATGAACTAGGTCCCAACTGCACGCACGACCCGAGGTTTTCGAACGAGATGATCACGCTGGAGGTGAGTCATTACGGAGTCGACAAGAATCGGTTCTTTGGTTTTTTGAGTCATCTTAACCCCAACAAGTGGACATCCCGTTATGCCGACAAAGTCATCGCCAATTTTATTCCCAACGCCAAGTCCGTTCAAGTGAGCTGTGACTTTAACCATGCTCGGCTAAAGCTGATGCGCAACTGGATGCTACAGTGTTCCGAAGATCCTAGGAATGTCATGCAGGATAGGGGATATGTCAAGGTGCATAAGATGAACCAGTGTGCCGTACTAGTCGCTACAATAATAGAAGTCCTAGTGCGTCATACATTCGAAACTGTCGCGGGATCAAATGACCCGACACGAATCCTTTTGCCATTTTACAAGACTGATTCTACCGTGTATGTACACCAAGCGCTGCCGATACTCCGGCTGGGCATAACGGAAGAGACGGCGCAACGATTGCGACAAGTTTGCACTCCACCAGACTCTAGACCCAGTGCCGGCCATTCCATCGAATATTGGACGTTCAATGCAAGCCAAGAACCAAGGCTACTGAAAACGCTCGAGGATGCGCACCTGCCGGGTATCGACATAAAGTATACCACAGTGGCCGACGCACTGGTATGCGAGCAAGATCTCGACGGCACTGATTCGGGCGCGTGGCTCCATCTATCTATCTTGTCCCGACTCCAAGATTTGTTTGGCACAACCACGGCTACGTCTCCAGATTTACCCAGACAATTCGTTTCTCGCTGTATGCGCGAAAATTTGACAGACCGCAAAACGGTGCTGTGCTTCAACAAACGAGGCAAGGGATCTACTTTTGACGTGATCAAAGTGGACGAAGTCAGGTCGGAGCAAGGCGGTCACCTTGCTCGCTTTGATCTGCCCCCCAAAGAAGAGCAAGATTTTATCACGGCCAGTCTGGCCATGACTCGTGAGGGCCATCCGAGCACCCTGGGTGTCAAAGGTGAGATAGCCACAACTTTTCCACCGCAACACGAGACCAGGTACCTAACAAGAAAATACCTGGCCAGTTCGGGAAAGCTGCAAGATATCGAAGATCGTTGCGCTGTCATTCACGGCTGCAATTACGATGCTCGAGAAAAGGCCGTCCAAGTCGAAGTGGAAGCGCTTACGGATCAGTGGATGGATAGAGTCAAGAACAGATATCGACCTCTGAGACTAGGACCCCCCGTATCGACAGTCAAAGAGTTTCTAAGACAGGATGGTAGACAAACAAGACTAAGGAGTAGAGGTGTGAAACGAACGAGAGAAGACGGCGAATAAATTTTTGCACTAGCTCATGACAAGACAATAAAGCTTTTAATGCACAATGGACGTCATGATTGTTCTTTTTTAATTTATCATACACCATTCCCTAGTCGCATCTGTTCCAAGAGGCTCGATAAACTGTCTGCAGTCTGTTTTAAAGTTGTGGGATCAACTGCGCCTGTCAGATGAAGATGAGAGGGTCTGAGGCATATCGTAGTGTTGTCATCTTGATTCAACTGGGAAGCGATGTGCATGGCCCTGAGTCCACTCTCGGCTCTGGGAGCTTTCCTACCAAAAGACCAATAAAGCACTTTAAGGCTGATATCACGAACCGATTCTTCCTTAAGCGGAACGAATTTCCAGCAGTACTCCTGTCCAGATAGATTATCTCTCCACACTCGTCTGAGGATGGCAACGAGCTGATTCTTGGCCCAGACTTGATCCCGTCGATAACTAAATGCGACCTTTTCGACCGAAAACTCGTCTATAGGGTTACGAGAAGGATTGAGTTTTAACAAAAGAGCATCCACTTCGTCTTGAGGTTCTCGTGGATCGTTCTTTGCTCGCCTTCGATACAAAGAGGTATCCGTGTCTGAACTCGAGGCAACAATGACTGGCGAGGAAGATTTTGGCGATAAAAACGAAATGCGATACACTGTTTTAAACGGGTTGAGTATCACAAAGCGGTAGCCCCTCGAAGCTTGTTCTGAATTGCAACGTCGTAACCGTCGCTGCGTAGACTCGTCGTGCCTTGCTTGGGATCCAAGATTGCTCTAGCTTTTCCGTTGGGCCACATGCACTCCAATTGGATGACATAAACCTCGCGGTGAGCAACGTGGTCTTCGTGATTGACAGTCCTAAGAGTTCCACTGGCATCCACCAACCGCGTCAAGCCCGCCCGTAAAGACCCAGATTGGAGAAGTGTTGCCTTGGCGTCTTCGTTTCCGTCCGGGATGCCACAGTAAAGAATAGAAGGAACATCGGGAATCGGCGACGACATTTTCTTCGCAGGATCGAATAAGGTATTCTATACAGTACATGCTGTTAATAAATTTACTGCTATGATGGAAAAGCCTCTTTGAATTGAATAGAATTATCGGTATCGGCGAGTCAGCATACGCCATGATGTGCGGAAGAAGGCTGTTGGTAGTATTTTTATAGGGACATTTTTCTACGTAACAGATTTACGTAGGTAGCGACGTCAATCGCGCAATTTATTGCGTTGATCCATTGCGTCGTAATTTTGGTATGTCAGGGACATGCGGGGAGAATCAATAGTAATTTAACACGTATTAGGTGACGTAGATTTTACCACTAGATAAAACGGGGAAGAACGAGTTATTCTAACCACCCGCAACGAGCAGTTAGTCAGCTCGCACAGCCAAAAATGAGTAAACAAGAACACCACAAGTTTCTTCACTGTCCAATTTCCGACTGCACGTATTATGGAGGGGACCTTCCGCGACACTTGAAAGCCAAGAAACACCGCGAGGACGTTGATCCCCTAGAAGCGAACGCTATCGCGCAAATGGTCAGCAAGGGGAAGGAAACGAAGGGATCCAATCGGTTGTTGATCCGTTGGTGTCCGGTGGAAGGTTGCTCATTTCTCACGCCCTACTTGCGAAACCATCTAAAAAACAAACATAAAATCAGAAACGATATTAAGTTGGACGATGTTATGAAGATGTCGTTACCATACGAGCCTTATAAGCTACCGCCATCGGCGACAACATCCGTTCGTATAGAATCGGACGACGACGAAGACGACGATGGCGACGAAGAGGAAGACTACCCAGGGGAAGGTGCAAAGGCATTCTATCTGTCACAACGCATCACCTCTGATCGTCATTGGTTCCTTGTAAAGTTTTACGATCATCTAGGCAGTATCGACGAGGGTCTTAAAGACGAGAAGACTCGCTGTCAACATGCCTGTCAAATGCGAAAGATTCTGGAAGACATGGACCCACGAGGCAAAGACATTGCAGTGATAGCTACCGAGGAAGGAAGAGCCGTGTGGAATCTATGGGTGGCTCCGCGTCTCGAAAATCAAACGTCCATCACAGCTGGTACCCTGATGTCATACATGGGCTCTTTCAAGAAGTTTTTGAAATTTGTCGTTCAAACCCAGAAACGTCGTTGTCTCGTCGATGGAACACCGCGGCTATCGGACGAAACCGTAGACGTCCTGCATGAGATCACTGGAAAGCTCCAGGGATGGCGATCCATCATTCTGAAACAAAGTGCGGTGCTGCGCAACGAACACTATCTCCAGGAGTGCGAGCAACGCATCACGCGAGAAGACCTTCAAGCATTTTTGAGATCACCCGTTGTGGCCGAGGCGGAGGCTCTCTTTGGCGCGGACGGCAACCGTCGAGGGATCCAGCGCTTTTCACGAGCTCGAGACTATCTCATCGCCCGCCTGGCAGTATCGTGCGGCACGCGCCCCAAAGCACTGGAAACGGCCACGTTGGAACACTTTAAACATGCCCGCCGAGATGTCAACTACCCGGATTGTTATGTTATGCTTGTACCAAAACATAAGCGGCAGATGGACGGACCGGCCATCGTCACGATGGACGAGAGGCTTCACGGGTTTATCGACACTTATATTCGAGAAATACGACCCGCGGTGGTCGCCTCTCCGGAGGAGACACACTTGTTTCTCAAGATCGACGGAGAGCCCTTTGAACAGGGTACAATAGGAAACCGCGTCAGTGAACTGTGGAGGAAGTCGGGAGTCCGAAAAGGGGCTCGCGTCACTTGCACAGACTTTCGAAAAGCCATCGTAACCATGGTGGAAGAGGCAAACAAGGAAGAGAGACGCAAGACCGGTCGCGAATGCATTGCCGATAACGACCTACGAAAGTTGCTGGCTCACTCTCAAAAGACTGCCGCTATCTGGTACATGAGAGAAGATCTGACTTCTCTGGGAGCGCGAACACACACCACCATTCAACGCATTAGAGAAGGGATACAACAAGAAGACAACGGGATGCATTCTATGACCACACCTAGTGGCACTGCAACCAGTAGCACCGAAAGGGAAAGTGCACCGTCTCGAGAGCCATCGCCACCGGTGTCATTACCAACCCCACAGCCTCCGATGCCCGTGTCGCCACAAACTTCAGAGCCTCCGACAATTGTTTTTGTTCCAGATCCACCCCATCCGTCAACCATGGCGATTGATACAACGGAGGTCTCCGTGGCACCAGGATCAGTTCTGTCTTCGACGTCTCTACCTGGCGTTCGCCGACCTCGTCTTCGACGCAGATGGCCTCCAGAGGACACTACATTGATCGTCAAGTATGTTGAATCCTTGAATGGAAGGTGCCCTGGCAAACAGGAAATATACGATGCTTTTCACAAATCGCCGGAGTTTATCAGCATTTCCAAGCGCGAAAACTTTGATCGTTTCTTCCACAAGGTCAAGACCACATTCAAAGCATTAAGGCAATCGGGACAGCTGACTTGTTAATCATGACCACTCCGAGGAGAAAACGTCGAAGAGTAGGCAAGGGCAAAAAACAAGAACAGGGAAAGAATATGATCCGCGTTAAAAAGATTTATCGCAAACATTTGCTCAGGCCGCTTCGATTGATTCATCCCATGCACCACGAGGATTCTTTGTATGACATTTGCTATGACAGATTTTTTCACAGCACGGGCATTCGCGAAACGTCTAAAGTTCTCTCTGAAGTTGCAAGGATACCGGCACTTATTTCAGACCGACCTGGATACGCGAGACTGAAACGACATAAGCAACTAGAAGAAGTCGAGCCGACCGACGGAGACACTGACATTGAGGCACCGTCTAGAGAAACGATGGATCGCATAGACAATATTCTGGGAATGTTAAGACCTAGTGACTTTGACACAGCCGGATTCGACGACCACTCTGTGGAAGTAACACAAGAGACTCTTATCCAAGACGACCGAGGAAGCGGTCATCTTGTTTCTTTGAGTTAATGACACGTTAGATTTTTCAATCCCTGGTGTAAAAAGAAAATGATGACATTCGAGTTTCGTTCGTAGCGTTTTTGTTCAGTTATTATTCGGATGTTTTATTTTGATCTCAGAAAAAAATATTGTTGTAACTATTTAAGGCATTGTTCGTCTTGGTCGTTGAGTCAAACTGTTATGTTCTCGATTAGATAGACTGAGGGCGATGCAATAAAGTCAAGCAAAGTCTTTCAATGATGTCGTTTTTATTTTTCTTTGGGTTGATTTTCTTTGTTTTTACACTGCTAATACTGCTGCATTATACTCTGGTAACCACGAAAGAACAGGCCCCTCCTGTTGTCGGTGTACCTTGACCACGTCAGGCTTTTTATTGTTAAAATGTTTCTTTGTTGGTCTGACTTTTAGTCGCTTGACTCTCTTTCGCTTCTTCAATTTCATGTTACAAGCATCCAAACTTGCCTCGAGGTTTCGTATTTGCTCGTTCTTGGTATTTTCGAGGGCAGAATAGTCTTCAAGAATCTTTTCGTTCATTTTTTCGAGTTCTTCGATTCGTCTCCTTTCCTCTTGGTTGCACATGTCGTTTAATTCAAATCTGAGATCGGCCACTCTCAACTCCATTGATAGCTCAGAGGTGCGTTCGCGTTCCTTCTCCAAGGCTTTGCGCAATCGAACAATTTCTTCCTTTGTTTCGGCATCCAACTTGCGCTTGTCGCTCCTCGCTTTCTGTTCCCGGGTGTCTGAAACGACGCCAAACTGCAAGCGCTCCGGAGGTAATAGAGGTCTACCGGCATAATGGGCCCGAGTAAAGTTGGCAGCCAAGGCGCCGACCAGTGTGTAACCGTACTTGTCCCAGTTGGTGCGCTCTTTTATGGGCTTTACACCCTCGGGCGCGGGGATCTTGTATTGCTTAAAATTGGTGATGCTGAGCATCGTCCCTTGGGTCTGAAAGTATCTCTTTCGATTGTATTCCAGTTGGTGCTTGTATTGGTGCAGTCTCACCTTGCCATCTTCTCCCAACATTTCTATGGACAATCGTTTGGTGGTGGACTCTGGATCGTAGAGAGGAACATCTCCCATGGGCGTCTTTCCGTATGCTTGTACCGAGATGGTGTGTTTGCCGCGAAATGCCAGAGCTTCGCATCGGTACTCTACCAAACCCTCAGAACTCGAGTAAATGGGAACGATGCATTCCACGACATTGTGAAGCGTCAACAAGCTCGCTTGCGGATCTTGAACGCCTTCCTCTTTCAAGCGCTCCAAGGTGGCTTGTCGATCAAACGGGACCAACACGTACACCGTAGAGGACACGTTGTCGTACTTGCTGCGTTGGTTACCAATATCAGGGAGCACCATGGGACGGAGGCATTCGCTGATCACACAAGGGCGCTCAAAAATACACTTGGTCTCGTCCTTCGTCAAGATTCCAAATCGTCCTTGGCCTTTATCGAACTGGGGCCAGTCCTTGCCCAGAATTTTGACTCTTCGAACGCAGTCGAGGCTGTATGATCGGCGAGTAGCCTTCGTCTGGGTCGTCACGAATTTACCCGCGTTGTGAACGGCAACCCCACAATGAATCATTTTAGGATCGGTAACCTCTTGAAGCAAAGAAGCGTTCGAGGTCAGATCTTGTCCACAAACAAGGCATGCCAAGTGACGGTGGTAACTGACGCAACTTTCGACCCGGCCCTTCGATTCTCGGGCAAGCCTCATGGTGTTATTGAAGTGATCATGGGTAACCATGCTACCCAGTGTCGTCACTTGATCTTGACCGAGTCCATCGCGATGTTTCTCGCTAACGGCGTGAAAGATGGAACCGGGCACGATTGGTTCTTCTTTCAGAGGATAGACGCTGCTCAAGACTGTATTGATCTGCCTCAAAAAAGTGTCGTTTAAGATACAAGGGATACTGTTCATGGTCAGCACCACCAAATTTGTAATGCTGGTGAAATCCAATCCTTGCTTTTTCGTATCGGTCACTTGAAATAGCGGGACTTCTCTGCTACGCTTCATGGGGCTGTTGATCCGCTTCTCCAACGAGTCATCCGGCTTGACGCCAATCGCGCTGCAAAATACCTCTAGTAGACTGTCCTGCAAAGGCATCTTGGCCAATCCAAAAAAGTTCCACACCTCTGCCGCATCCCCAGTAATGATGGCCGCGCTGGCACCGTCAGCTCCAAACTTGGGCGTGGCGATGTCGTAACTGAAGACGGCAGTGGCCGTCCTTTGCATGCAGTCGAACTTGGACAAACATTCTCCGCTCGATTGAGCACCGACGTAACCTCCCGGTAACGACTCAATATCATGAATGGCTTTGTTGACATAATCGTAAGGTTTGATGCCTCGCTTTCTGACGTGTTCCGCCACTCGGGTCGGGTCGAGAAAAAACTGCCCCAGTAGCTCACTTGGCGTAGACGGGTCGCGAGTTAGCAGGGTCGGATCTTGAACCACCGGGCACATGTTGGAGATACGGCGAGGCACGTCTGTATTTGTCAAGGTCATTTGCGATTTCTCGCCGTACGGTGTTACTACGGTAAAGACGAGCGCGTTCAGAGAATCGTCCCAACGAGAATCTATGGCCACGGAAAACCCCTGTCCAAATCTCGTCGAACGCTCTTGCGAACGTTCAATTTATCCATCTCGTCCCGATAAGATGGAGGTGCTCCATGGACAACTTTCATCTCGGTTTTTATGCTTGCTCCTTTCTATTGCCGTTCAAAGCAAAAATAAAATATAAGAATACAGATTCAATCGCTTATATATTCTTTATTGACCAATCGTATTCAAGTTAGTTAAATTACGTAACGCATCTGCGAGAGACTGGCGAGAGTCAGGGATTGGATGAGCCAAATGTAATCCTATCACACCGATATCGTCAGATAAAGTCGCGCCTGCCATTCCTGAGATCGTCTCTAACACGTCGCCAGTTATCCCAAGAAAATCGTTCCAGTACGGATACAGCCTCCCCCTTCCCCAAAATTGAACAAGGCAGGATATGGCGCTCTTTTCACCTCGGTCTCTTCCGTCTTCGAACGTTAGAGGTGCCTCGCACAATCCTTGAGTTCTGCCGCGAGCGATGCATATCAAGAGGACGCCGAGAACGTGCAATTCGGCTGTGGTCTGATCGCACGGGCGTCTGCATAAAGCCTCCGGCGGAGAAAAAAAACAATTTCCGTGTACCCACAATCGTCGTTTTCCCTTGGCCGCGTCTCGGGCGTTTCCAAAGTCGATCAAAGTCAGATGATAGTTGCGTGCAACGTTAATCACGACGTTCTTCCAACTCAAGTCACCGTGCACGATATTCACGGTATCGTGAAGATGTTGAACGGCCTCTACCAATTGCAGCACAACCCTGAGGGTGGTTGGCTTTGAACGCCTGCTATAACGCGACACCCATTCGCCCAAAGTGACTCCTTCGACCAAAGGCATCACGAGTCTGGGCAAACCCGTCGTCCCTGGCGGTGGGGTGCAAATCCACCAAAGTTCCACGACGCCGGCGTTCTTATGACGATTACATCTCAACATGGCTACCAACTCCCTGTCGAATTGGTCGTAATCCATATACTTGTAGACCTTGACTGCGCACTTGAGCGTGGCCCTCTTGAGAGCCGGGAAGCAGGTGGCAAAAGTTCCAGAACCCAGTGGTTGCGAGGAAGGATCGATGTCTAGCTCCGATGAAGAAATGATGCCTACCGAATCATCTATTACTGCAGGTAACACGGCCGCTTCATTGAGGAGTTCAACAGTCGAAGGTGACAATGTAAGGTTCTTTTTCAACGAGTCGCGCTGCGTCGACGGCATTGTCGATGCTCACAAAGGGTGGACCAACGGACGAATCGGTAAGAAATTCACCGGTTCTAATACAAAGCACCAGACGTCTGAATTTTGGAATTAATCGAACACAGGCGGGTGGTGCAACGATTTGACATTGCTCATCGAATGCCACTGCCTCCAAGCGGGCGTCGCATCCCAACTCGCATCTAACCAATGTCGAGATGTGCGATACGTCGACAGGCGGTGGCAAGGCACCAACCAACGTGATGAATATTGATTTGTCATGTTCCCCTCTCGTGACGAGCACTGTTCCCGGTCCCACCGTTAGATGGGTATCGTTGGGGAACGAGGGAAGCAGCCAATGTGAACTGGATGACACAGGAGTGAAATGCAATAGAGCACCATCTCGGTCCACTTCCACGAGCCCGGACTCGGTGAAATTTACGCGCGATATGAGGACAGCAACGGCACAGTTCAACAATGTCCACTGCATCTTCGCAGTGATAACTCAACTCTTTTTACGCTACGTTTATTGCTGTTGTGGTTACCGGAAGACAATCATGTCTCGATGAAAAGAGATGGGAAATCTCCGAAAAATCTCCTCGAATGGCAGTCCTTCTGTTGAGGGATGGAGGTAGATTTTGTGATACTCGTCAAGTCTTCCAAACTTAGTTGAGAACTGAAAGGGAGAACAAACACAGGAGATGCGCTTCCCACTCACCGTCACGGCGACTTGTAGCGGCGCTTCTGTATCTTTTCCTCGTCGCGAATGAATGGTGGCAGGTGAATACACAGATCCATGATAGCGTGATCCGAGCGAATCTTAATCAGAGGGCATTCCAAGTATCGTCTCTTGAGACATTCCATGACGCTAGTAAACTTTATGGTGTTTTTCTGGCGAAGAATAGGAGGGACGTGTGCCTCGAAAAGCTGTTGCCATCTACGAACCTTATATGGGCTCTTATTGTCCTCTTGAGATCGCACTAACTCGGACAAAGTCATGTACCACTCGCTCGCAAAGAAACGTTCTTCGTTCAGGGCTTCCATGCCACCGGTGGTTGTCTTGCGCTCGAAACCATCCAGACCACATAAGCCGTGCACGAGCGGTGACCATTCGGCCCACTGGGGAAACCGGGGCGGTTTGGGTACGCTAGCGTTACCCACGTACGTAAGACGCTTACCTACCATTCTGCCATCCTCGTGCCTCAAAATGTAAGGATGACCACATGCTCCAGCACTGGTGACATCGCAGTGTTCGATGAGTAACAAGGTACCCAAGGGAAGACAAGGATCCTGCAACGAAATAACATTCCACCCCTCCCACTTGGGAAGGGTAAAGACAAACGTTCGCTTGTATGGATCGGCACGTTGCGTGTCTAGATCGAACGAGAAATTCTGCGGCTGCTGTTGCTGTTGCTGTTGCTGTGGCTGTGGAAATGCCATCCAGTCTGTTCTGATTTTTGGAAAAACACTAACTCGATAAAAGACTTAGGTATTGATACCAATAAGGAAAATAAATACAACGATTATACTCACGTCTGGTTTTCCTGCAATGATGTGGAAAGTCGATTTTCTCTTCTCTCTCGCGAATACGAGGGTAACGTCGCGATCGTTTTTGGACAATCGCACGTCACGAACGAGATCCAGGCGTATCATCAGTTCCAATAGGCGATACACCGCCTCAAGATGCAACCGAGCCGTGTCAAGGGTGATGGCCATGAGTAACACGAACATGTCTTCTCTTGCATAACACATGGTCAAGGCGATAGCCAGATCCACGGCAACAGACTTACCGCTCCGTCTCGGTAGTACTATGACAGCCATCTTTCGGCCCAGAGTCTCTAAGATGTGATTCATCCTGTCAGCGACTCTGGGGTCGGGAAATCTGGGATCGTACGTTGTCATCTCGGGCGTGGCCAAATGCAATAGTTGCAAGACCTCGTGGATGTAACGGTTGGTTTCACTGCCGATGAGTCGCTTGAACATACCCAGGAGGTAACTCTGGAGGTATTGCCACTGGAACGGTTCCAGACGCCACCCCTGGGCACCTAACAAAGTCCACAGGGCAGAAATGGCATCGCGAACGAGGTTCATGTGCATCCTCCCTTCGCTGTCTCCTCTGTGAACCGGGTCTAGCGTAGCCCTCGCCACGGTCACCCCTCGTTCAAAAAGGCAGTCCACGAACTCGTCGTAGGTGTGGATGACAAGCGCTTCTTTGCGCTGTCGTTCTTCTGACACCACTTGAGCAATGGAAGATTCGACCAATCGAGCAAACCGGTTGCCCAGGGCCGATAAGCGACGGATTGTGCCATTGGGTTGATCTCGGCAGCGGAACGTCCCGAGCCGGTCCGTCGTCCCATAATCGACAAAGGTTCTACGATGTCGCAAGACGCGGTCCCTATTCACGGCTGCATCGCATCGTCCAAATAAGCAATTCAAGATGGCGGCTCTCGTCGCCACTGAATCCATAACTTTCAGCAGTGGGTGGCAGGTATTTCTCGATCCTTCTTATCGTGTCTTGGTAGTGGAACGTTCACAGTGTAAATGGATCCCTTTGCGTTTCATCGACTTTCATAAGTGGGTACCTATCTGGAACGGGCAAGAAATGAGTGCCTGTCGTCTACTGGACATTGTCGAAGAACGCGAGGAGCGCAATTCGTGGCCCGTGGTGGATACGTTTGCTGTTGATGCCGCCACCACCATGGGACTCTTGCCCGACGAGAGCGTGGATCGAGTTCAGTTGTTTTATCGCTGGAGTCTACCACCGGACTTACCAGACTACGAATGCCATGCCTCCCACGATCCGACCAACCTGTTACCAATGGCATTCCAATGGAAACCGGCGATTCTTTACGGGACAATCGACGTGGCCGTTTCGATAAGTGGTTTGCATGTACTCGACATACCGGGCGTGGAAATCATGGAAGGCGTTCAAATGTCGCAGGGGGTACGAAAAGCTCTCTCTCGAGGCCCGGAAATGAGACCATGTTTTTGCTGGCGCGACGTAGCGCGTAAGGTGTTGATCAACGGCGGCGACCCACGAGGCACGTTGACCATGCGAATCGAGGTGGAAGACGACGAGATGCGATGCGAGGGAATTCAGTGCACCTCTTTTCTGGAACTTCAAGCTAGACTTTTGATGAACGCAAGGTCCTCGACCAGCAAGAGTGACAGACACGCCGTCATTATTGGTCACTCGGACAAATACGTGATCCAGACACTTCGCAGAATACTAGCTACCATTGGAGCTCAGAGTCGCAAGACTTCGTACATCCAGAACACGGGAGAGCACTGCGGACGCGAGTTTTACAAGCTCTTTTGGTATCCCGAGCTGGAAGATTACATAGACCCTAGAAAAGATCACGGTCCGACGTTCACAGCCTTCCGTCCCGTGCGCATGCCTGCGTCGCCACCGTATTGCGTGGTACAGTTTGCCGACAAGGGTACATTTCTCGTGGATGGTGTGCGTTATTTACCGTATGCTGAAAGCCAACCCAAATTGACGGGACGCCCGTGGTCACACTCTATTGGGGTGAGAACACGAAGGTATGTTCGATGAAGAGGTTGCCATTGCTCGTTTTCTTCTCTGTTCCAATGCGATCGTCTTCATTGTGGAGACGGCATTTGCCAACAGGATTCGACCTTATGTGTCTCACGAAACGATGTACCTGTGTATATTTTATTACCTCGTGGCGAACGTTGCCTCGTCCAGGAGACAGTTGCCTGCATCCTCCCGCTCCGTTTGGGCTTGCTTAACCAGAACGGCTCTTTGCTCCATTCCCCTGACCTCGTTACTGTCCCTGTTGTACAACTTTCGTCACTCGATCGTGGACTGTATCGTGCACGATACGCTCGGGGATGCTCAGTCCTGCAGATTTGGAGGAAATCGCTTGCGCTGCGAGTCATTTCTTTTGGCCGCAAAGAGACAGACCGTGCAAGAGGGATGTGCATCGTTCGTCTTGGGACCTTTCATGGCAACTCTGTATGCGATCCTGGTATTTGTCCTTCGGTTCGTCCCGTGCTTTTTCGGAGGCGTGTACTTTGCTTTCACTTTCACCGAAGACCGGCTTTACCCGCAAGGATCATCCCTCAAGGCTCCAACCGACCGCCATCAAGACCGCGCCTTACCTTCAACTACTTTCTATCTAGCTTTGGCGTTACTGCTTTGGGGAGTCTTTTCTTTGGAAATTTCCGCCGGGAAGCACGCGGAAATATGCACTTACACGACTCTGGTCTTCTACGGAGCTTTATTCATCATCCAAGTCTCTCGGTCGCAAGAAGGGACGTCGCAAGAAGTGAACCGGGTTCTCCAGGAGCTACAATTTGTGGGTTCGATCTTACTGGTGTTCTTCGTGTACATGGACTTTACCCGAAATACAATCGTGCTAGCCTCGACGTGCGCAGAATTGGTGGACTACAAAGTGTTGTCCGAATGCCAACCCGGAGACAAGGTGTGTCTGGATACTCGAAACGCCTTGTCTACCACCTTTTTCAGTCAATACGACTGCCCCAAATAAGCGCAGACTCTACCAGACACGTGTATTTTTATTTAGGTCAGATTCTGAGATTGATAGTGTTGGCCATCGTCTACCCGATCGCCTTGATCTATCAACACGTCCAACCAGACCGCAGTAGCGGTTATGGTTCCGGGAGCGGGGCTTTCTGAAAGAAACCATTGACAAGACACCCGCAGATGAACTGAAACGCATTCTATATCAGGCCGTTGAATTAGACTTTGAACAACAACGACATTAACAAGATCTGGGGTAGCAGCGAAAGTTTGCACACACCACGGATGGCAGTAAGGACCAAGTATCTACCAGCGAACGTTGGCGTGTATGCAGAATGTCGCCTATCAGACAATCGACGGGCAAGTGTGTTTCTCGACCTGGTCAATACTGTGTGCACCACTTCATGGCCAATGGGTAACGAGGAAACTTGTCTTGAACGCGGGAACTCTGTACACACTGAATCGCAAGGAAGTTTCATCAAGCTTATGTTTGTCTGTTTTGATGGTCGCGACAAATGTTCGTTGTTGCCGTTCGACGTATCGTCGTCCGTCAACATCACTACAGTGACCAACGAAAACACGCGAGAGTTGCTTGCTTCGGGGTACGACGTGCTTCAACATATCGGCTTCGGTAAGAAGGGTGGACGATGTAACGGATTTGTCAATAAAAACTGCAACTTTTCTGCTGTCTTGCACGGCGTGTTAAATCGCGAGGAATACATTGAGCGACTGTTGACCATTCGCGGACTGAGATTCTCTCGAAATGCCTACTTTCCTCCCGTCAAGTATTCGTTTACCACGGAGACGGGACAGGTCGTACAGGTACAGATCTACCCGACTTCCCTTGCTGTCAACTTGCAAAATCTCACCAAGGAAACGGTCACCCGGTACGGCTCGTTCATCCTGCAACAGATCGCATGCGAGGCCGACATCGACACCAGTCTCATGCGATTTTGCGTCGACGCCGAGTGGCGATTGGACCGCACTCTCTCACCTTACGAAAAGCTTCAACTGGTCATTGGCTACTACTCGTTCCGGTGGCTAGAGGCCACGGTTGACACGTATGACATCGTTGCGGAAATGCATGATTTTCTACTGAAGGGACTGTCGCTGTTCACTCTGGATCACGGCCGTTACTGGTATTCATTCGAAAGGAAGAAACGCAAAAATATGGAAATATACGATCTCTTTATCGAGGACACCCCCTTGCGTCACTGTCCCCACGCGGGTGGTTTCAGAGCTTTCGTGTTAACGTTTCTTTCTTCTAGGGGACACGCGTTTGCGGCGCAAAAAATTCGCGAGGCGTTTCCGGTCGACAAGGACTCGGCGACTGAGACAGACCCAAATGATCCTTGTTCTGCGCGACTCTGGTACGAGACGCACGTGGTCGATCGTCACTGTCTGTTCTCTAGACAATAAAGTGGTATCTAGTTTTACTTTTTATTTGTTCTCGGAAAAAGTGCGTCGTAAGCCCTGGCCGTTTCTATGTAGGAATGGACACGGCTCGGATGAGGAACTCTCATGCCCTTATTGCGCCCCCTTTTTAACTCCACGCACAAGGTCAAGGGAGCTTGGCGCATGACGCCCTGAAGGGTTCGTTCGACGTCCTTCATTGGGTCGCGAAACTGGTGAGCGCATTCATCGTGGTCTTCCTCGTAATGACGCCGCACCTCGTCGTCTGTCACGTCTGTCAAAAAGGCCAAATTGGGGTGGTCCCTACCCGCGGCGCGAAACTTTTTACCGTACGCGCTAACGAGTGACGAGCGGGACATTAGCTTGACCTGGTGAAATTTGCGAGTCAGTTCATTTAACAGCGTTGCATCCAGCACGGTTGCGTCCCGGTTCCCATCTGGACTCCATCTCGCAGCGCCGGTATCTCTCGTGTACAGTCTGCACAGGCTGCATTTGACGTTCGGATCGAATCCGGGTAAAGGGCAACCAGATTGCTCGGCGTCGACATCGTCGTCGTGATCTCCAGTGAGGTCGATGGCGTCAGACACTAATTCACGCACGCTGTCCTCTGTCATAACTCTAAGACAAACAGTGCGATCTAAGCGTGGTTAATCGTAAGTCATGGATACCGCAGTCTGGGTTTTCGACATCGGGCGATTGGTGCTCATCTTTGCCATCATTACACAGGGCATCATTTTTTCAGCTCACGTTGCCAATGAACACAGGGATCCCCATTATTACGCCAGTGCACTCATCGCTCTGCCATCTTTGATTATGAGTTGGTGGTACTTCGCCAGACCACCATCGCAACGCGTCAATCGACCCACTTTGGTCTGGTTAGTCTACTCCTTGACGGTGGTGGCATTTCAAGGCCTATCATTCGGAGCAACGGATATCTCGACTCATGACTCTACGTTGTTGTACGTAGCCAACGGCGTTACGC